TGAAATCGAACAGAAATTTAGTAATCACTTGACATGAAAAAGGATAATGTACTGCATTTATCCATAGGTATGAGTGTAAAAATTTTACTTTTTAACAAAAACATTCCTCTTAGAGACTATATCAAAGTTTAATTTGTTGTAAAAAAGTGAACATTAGTGGATATAAACAGACATAAGTCATCGACGAAGAAAGAGAGTTTCATTCTCGTAGCCACCATTGGAATAATTACATCTTCTGAAATGTTCACATCTAGGCTGTATGACTTGCCAAAGGTCTCCATTAAGTCGAGATTACCCTTAACATTTAATGCCTGACAAGTAAAATTCACAATTTCACTTAATAAGCAAATGATTCACAGAATTACTGGAACTTCAACATGCTAAAATAACCGAATGATGTGGAAAAGATTAAATCAGATTTGCTGACTTGTCAAAGCACGAATATAACGGATAAGACCATATGATCTTTAAACATTTTATTAGTAGATCTCACTTATAGTGCAGTAACAAACATAAATACCCCACCGGAAATAATGAAGGTTAATCAGTCAATCAATATCAACTTAGGATCTCACATTACTACATAAAGGTTCAAGTTGACACACCTCGCCTGACGAAACAAGGTAGTATAAGAAACGGTCTAATATACTTAATTGCTATATACTCCTGATTTTACATAGCTTTACCCGCTATTTTTTGTCCATGACCTTAAAACAACCTACATGGCTGCTTTCACACCATTACTAGTTTTTTTCTTTTCTATGCTCTCAAGGCTTTCATCGGTTGTTAACTGTTTTTACCTATATGTAGATTTAGTGTCGTCAAAATCATTTAGAAATGTATATATACAACATCGCTGTCAACTGAATTGATTGTCACTGAGGCAGTAAAAAGCTCTCTGTCAACGGTCTATCTTCTCTTCTTATTTTTGGAAGTTGGTGGTATTGTTATAGTGGTGGTTGACCTTCTAATTTGCATTAGAACCAATTCGTTCGCGCATAAGTTTGTATCGTTCATAATCTGCTAGGCTCATATCGTTCGTAGGCTGTTAGATCGAACTACCGGTCACAGCATTATTACCGAAACATCACACAAGAAGATATGGACGAAATTTCGATTGATAACATAAGTGTCTTTATATTGGCTGGTGTCTGGAGAGCAACCGATTTCATATTACCTAGTCTTTAGGAATGATAGAATTCTATCTACCCCGTTCCGAATCTCAGAAGAGATATCAGTTCCTTCAAAGTTGTAGATGTACCATGCCAACGAGTGTCAACAACTACGAAACCTAGGCTTCCTGTCAACTACCTCCACCCAACCAACATAGGTGACTGTCTGTTTCACAGAAGTTGTATAAAAGCACCATTTCCACGAACCAGTATCCATTACATTGTGCAAACACTACAAAGAATATTTGCATAGTGTTTCTCAGGTCAATAATATTTTGGTTGGAATTCATCATGGACTGACATCAGTAGGAGGAACATCGGAAAGCAATGGACAGCCGTTTGGTCCAAGTATGGGACTACTCCTAAGTAGTGCGCACCTATAACCCCGCCCCGTCAGGGATCGAAACCATAACCTTCAAGTTTCGTGTCCAGGATGCTACGATTGAGCCACTGGATCGGAATCGAATGGTCCTTATTTCCTACTTCTGTCAGTTCACGATATAATGGGACCTACATCTAATGTCGTCGTTGAGTAATTGTCCCCATGTTCGACTTGATGGACTCCACTGGTCACATACAACTCATTGTAACTTCTGAAATGAAAGTATAGACCATTAGATCCCAATTCCAGTGGCTCAATGGTAGCGTGCTGGCTACGGAATCTGATGGTTCTGCGTTCGACCCCTGACGGGGTCGTGGGCGCGCGCTGCTGAGGAGTCCCATAGTAGAACGAAACAGCTACCTAGTGCTCCCAGGTATTCAGTATTTCTACGAATGATGTCAGTCCATGACTAATTCCAACCTGAAACCAATTAATAACTCTCCATGAACCACCACACAATATTTTAGTCAAAAAGGGTGACTTTTTTAACAGAAAGAAAAACAGTAGTACGATGAGTTGGTTGATCTGATACCAAAAAGACAACCAATCCGTTTTTAACATCAGGGATATCAGTGACAAACAAACCAACATTATCGCTGAATCATCACGACAATAAGCCGGCAGTACCTTGGTAATACGATAGAGCCGTTAGTTTATTCTTCTATGCATAGCAATAAACAACTTTTAGGAAAACTAAAGGAAGGGTTACTTATGCATATGGTAACAAATAGTGACAGAAAAACTTAGTAGCAAAAAAATTCCAATCAACATCATCATCATCTATCAACATAGGACCAGGCATTACTGTGTAACGGTTCGAGTTGCCACACCCCATATCACCACATTAAGTAAAAAGGCAGTGAAGTGGAAGATGAATGGAAAAAAAAAGATATATATATATATATATATATATATATATATATATATATATATATATATATTACGAAAAGAGAGAAGGGAAGAATGAGAAAATGGTGGGATTAAGGATCGCGATTAAGATGAGGGTAATGTATGTATAAATCTGCGCCACTGACATCAGTTCTAAGCCATATTACCTAGAGTCTCCAACCACTGGTTTTTCCTGTCCATCTGATCCCGACCGGCTATTCTGCATCGCCCTACATGGCTCAAACGAGCAGTCAAGGACGTCATGCATTGATGTCATGTTTTAGTCTCGCTAACGTGGGCCTAATTTGAATCGACTACTCACAGAGTATTGACGGTGTATCAACTAAGCCAGGTCTGATTACTGCTACTTAGTGTGATGAAGAAGAGATGATTATAAGTAAGTCAGTTAAGATCAACGTGGAATATGGTATCCACTGCGTAGCCATACAAGTTGCTACACGTCATATCAACACATCAAGCGAAAATGTACCAATATGAAAGATAAAGAAATAAGGAAGAGAGCAATCAAAAGTGGTAGACAGTGGTGAAAAGAGTATAAGAAGAAATAAAATAGCAATGGAATTCGACATGAGGACTGCGAAGAAGACAATGTATAAGATACATCTGAGACACTCAGATCAATCCCGTGTCACATCATTTAAAGCTTGTAACTAGTGATTTCGAATATCGTGTGAATCTCAACCGGCAAGTCTACATTTCCCTACACTGCTCAAACTAACAGTCGAAGATTTCATGCAATGATGCTATGTTTTACTTTGGCTGTCTCTAACCTTTTTCCAGCCTAAACTTACTCCAACTCATATTGCACGACAGAGCAGACGGTAACTAGGTAGACTAACACATGTTACAGCTGTCTGAGTCGATGACGACTCACAATCTCACCAACTGACTTTCCTTTTGTACCCAAAAATTCATAAATCACTCATTCACATAAAAACTGATCAAAACACCTAATAGCTGAAGTTATGCTTAAATGTAATCAGGAGTTTAAACCCATTGAACAATCAATACAGCACAAGAATCAGAAACTAGAAAAAAGGTTGGTTGGATTTCTATCACAACCAAAATTTTCTGTAGACTGAATCTACCTAAGATAGCTTGAATAAACGACTGGAGTAACCAATATGGTGTAGCGTAACCGAAGTAATCTCAACGGTGAAAATCAGATATGATAAGGTATGTGCACATTCATTACATAATCTCGATTACCTAATAGATTGCAAATAAAAGTCTTTTACAATCAGAAATAGGACGACCAAGCGAAATTATCATAATTAACATTCAAGCAATATCCAGGCATCCGCATAGGAGCCCATATGGCAATAGAGGTCGAACAATTCGATCCAACAAAACAACAGGGAATAACAAGTGTGTCAATAAATAGTAATAACTGCTACCCGTTGTACAAGAAGTCGCCATCGTCCCTCCGTGGCATAGTGGATGACGCCTTGGCGTTTGAAGCGATGGGTACAAGGTTCGAGTCTCAGTGGGAACAACATCACTCACTGGGGTGCAAGTACATCCAGCTGACGAGTCCCGAACAGGACGAAACGCGCGCCCTAGATTCTTCTGCTAACCACAACCAAGAAAAATTATTAGAAAGAGGTCAGTTTGGAAGACAATGAACCTTTGTTTTTACGTCAATAACAGTAATGATAATCAACATACTTACTTCAATTGTTGTTAGTCGTATACAATCCACCTATTGCCTTTAAACCCCTATCTTTGGCATAACAATATCTATTAAATGCAAGCAGTGTGTAGTCATTCACCTTTATAGAACAATTTATCTAGAGTATGAAGTTTGAGTTGCATTTCTAGCCGATTGGCTTTCACATTCTACTACACTTGTTCTTCCTTTCTCTACCTAATAATTCGTTTATTTGGTGATATTCTCTGAGACTTTTGCTTGTTCTATCACATTAGTCAGCGAACGGTAATCGAGCCAGCTGTCAAGTGCTGCGCACTTATCGAAGTCTCTCCATCAAGATTACATGTAGTGTGGCTACTATGTTGTGCCGTTAGACGCTAAAAGTATACCACATTTGGTCTAGTTTTTGTGCTCACTGACACCCACCATCAAGACTTAATATCCGATCATGAAGAAACTTATACGCTTTCGATGATTTGAAAATGCATCGATAAGCGTCAACGTCAGGAACTCTGCCGCGTAATCATTCAAATCAAAAATAAGTGGATTATGTAAAGAAGTGGTAACTTGATAATAACTAGGATGCTTATCACGCCTGTTTGTTAACGTATAGAGTGGAGTTGTGGCTTATTGGTCTAGGAAGATAACTAAACCCTACTCCATCTACCAAGATTTATGCAGCCAGGTAATTTCACTAGCTTTTAACACAAAAGGTGTGGTTCATTGCCTACTGCATGAATATGAAAAAGGTGGATTTCGCTTCGATATATAACCTCATCGAAAAATAGAAAATGCATTAAGATAAAGATTCATTACAAGTTTGTACACATGATTCATTCATACAAGACTAACTAGTAGCATTTTACAAAACAGAAACCCAACTTACTTTCAGCTGATTGTTACTAAGTATTAATACTTCCAAATTGACTAGATGTTCTATATCGTCCGGAAGTTTGGTTAACTGATTTGTGCCTACATTCAATTCAACTAAACTGGTCCAACTTTTAATATCTTGAATATGAAGAATGACGACGAAGTGAACAAAGAAGGGAGATAAAATTTAAAATTGCATTATTTCTTCATTTTTCAAACAAAAATTATACGTAGGATAATAGATATCAATAAAAAACTTACACATGATTATACATGATGAGTAATGGAGAGTCGTTGTGGTATATACAATGAGTGTTACATTCACTTCATAAACAGTTGACAGTATATGTCAGAACCAATAGACATATAGATAGACCAGAACCAACGCAGAACCTGGTACACAAGTCCATCAATTAAACTGGACACACTTCACAAGAGTATACAAAGAACAAGTGGTTGGAAAAGAGTGATCTCAAAGTAGACAAAGGTATATGAAACGAGGAACAATTTGAAGATGAAGGTTAGTGCGAATATTCAAGCTTTTCAGACATTTCAACAAGTCATCAAACAGTGATTTCCATTGTCTCGGGGAACCTAGCCAAGTAGTCTGCACTTATCTACTCGGCTCAGACAAACAATAAGAACCAAAAATATCATCTAATACCTATCAAGAAGCTGTGTATTTATTATTATTTATCCCTTGAGTTCCTAGCGGAACCAAGGGCTTCAGGAGCACGTCGACATTTCACTCTTTTCTCTACAGCCTTTTCAACCTGGCTCCACAACTCTCCACAAGCTTCCTTACATGATCTCCTCCATGACACCCTCGCCTCAGACATCCAACTCGTCGTTTCGCATTTGGCTTCCACTCGAGGGCCTGGCCTGACGCGTGGTGTCAATAAAGTCTTCTCAGTGTACGTCCAATCGAAAACATCTCCACTGTTGGGGGATAGGTTGTTGGTTGGCTGCCAGGTGAGAGTTCCTTGTTACCATTTAGTTAGTCAGGGCGCGATTGAACTCGAATCTCAAACGGACATCGGTTTTGTCAAGGTTACAGAAACGCCTTGCTGACGAGTGCGGAAAAGCATAAAACTCAGGTCATGCACAGCTTCCTTCGATTGCCTCCATCCAAATAAAATGAATGACAAAGCTCATGGTCTAATCAGCCAATACAGGGGACAATTAAAAACGCACCTGTTTTACGACTACAATACAAAAGACTATAAGATCGATCAGTTGACAAAAAGAAAATACTATGACGTAATAACGGTTAGTCCCAGAGTATAAACAGTGTTCGTTGGTCTTGCTTTGCAAAAATTCACAGTTTGTTGTTGACTCATATGGCGTAAACATATACTCTTACCCGTATACTTAGTTTTATCCATGCACAGCATAATTACACTTCGGATTCTTTCAATATAACTTTTCGCGTATTAACAAGAGGATATGCGTAATCAAAGAGTTAATAATGTTATTACTTGTGAGAGAAGTGAGGGAGATGAGCAACAAAACAAAAACTGAAGTAGATAATATGTAAGTTAAAGATAATGGCTAACAGTCGAATCTAGAACGTGTGTTTTGTCATATTTCGAACTCGTCAGTTGGATGTACCTGCATCCAAGTGAGCGATGTTATTCCCACCAGGATTCGAACTCGGGACCGATTGCTTGAAACACTAATCACAGGCAATACCAAGACATCCGTGCAGAAGCCCACATGCCAATTCGATGCACTTAAGGACGGGAGCATACAAAAAGCAACAATAAAACTACACCCGTTGCACAAGAAGTGGTATCGTAACTCGGTAGTCTAGTAGATAACACTGACGCTTGAGGCTGTTGCTATAGAACCCCAGTCCAAGTGGGATAACATCGTTTACTTAGAGGCAGGTACATCCAGCTGATGTGTCCCAAATACGACTAAACGAGCGTCCTAGATTCCACTGTTAGCCACTATTCATCATTGATAAATGATTTAAACACAGGGAAATATCTATGCATCCACACAGGAACTCCTATGTCAACAGAGAAGAACCAATTAGGTTCACAAAACGACTGGATTATACAAGCAACAACATTTTATAATAATATGATCACTTTGTAGACAAAGAAGAGAAACTGTGACAGCATCTGCACAATTGCAATCAATAATGAACTACATCGTTATAGGTCTTCCAATCTACATTCTACCTGGAGTCAAATTGCGAGCCCTTGATAATAATGTTATTGTTAGTGATTAGGTGAGTTTAATAGATATACTGACCGTTTCAGATGATGAAAATTCACAAACATAACTGATTAACAGTAAAATTCATTGAAAATTATACATAAATCCAAAAGAAATGATCACTTCACCTTAAATCATAACGTTTTAAAGCCGTATAATATATCAGAATGTACTGCTTGCAATACTGAAAATTCTGACCATTATAGCGAATAATGTATTGAAGGTATTTCAATAACCGTACAAAAACTGATGAGTCCTACTTAAATTTGAAAATAAATAAATCCCGCTATAATTACGTTTACTCTTTTTTAAATTTCCATCAGGAAACAAATGTTTTCAATCAATATTTGTTTGTGATTAATTGTAAACTAGAAAAAAATTTAGTTCCCATTTTCATCCTTGAGAAAGGCTATTAGATAATTGCAAGAAATCTGTTCATGAAGCTAAAAGAGGGACAGAGAGAAGAAAAACTGACAGTCTAACTGAGGTGCCTTTAGATGAAAAGTTAAAACAGTTGTGAATTTTTTTCTATAAAAACTTTGTGAAAGATATTTCTGTTATTGGACATTTTTTAGGCAGAAATAGAAGTGGGATTTTTCATCTCATGTTTAACTTATGCCTTGATTATATTTAGGTGATATAACCTCACCTTTAAAACTGTAGATTTTTCACAAGAATCTATAAATATACAATGAAAAAGATTTGTAGCTCAGGATAAGGATGACATGGTTTCACTAAAACTATGAATTCTTAATTACTAGACGTGGTGACATCGGTGGCAGCAGTACTAACTTCATGAAGATTTCTTTCATGAATGTAGGAGTAAAACTTGGACACACCTAGTCGTAGATTGTGATTCCATTTTAGTCAGTTTATTAGAAATATCACACAGTGAGACAGTATCATTTACTCAATTGACACATAATTTATTTATTGTCCATATTCATACTATGTAGCTGACTCCATAAGTTTGGGACACAGTTTATGTAGTGCTCGTCTTCTCTCCTTCTTTGTGGTGACGACAAGGGTGGTAGAATTTTCCATATATCTGAGATAGGTGTACAATCATTTCTACTCCATGTATTTTGTGTTGATTCGATAAACAAAGGTTCAGTTATCACTCTCTCCTTCCATGCACCCAACTAAGTTCGTCCATAATACTGTCACTCTATCCCACCAGATTGTGTAATTGTGTGTGATTGCTTGCAAAGGTATAGCCGAGCTTTACTCTAAATTTTTTATCTTCATATGATCGACTAATCTTGACTTAACTGAGCTCTTGGGTTCTGTTATTCTAATTGAATGTTTTGACCTACGTAGCTGACCTCACAATCATTGGAAGGCATTTAATACACGAAATTGGAATAAAGTAAGATCAACTGCTTTCAAGAAATCCAAAAGTACCCAAATTATACAATGAAACTAACAATACTACATCTCCAATGATTGATAAGTCAAAGTGGGTTGTTAATCTCTCAACTAAAGTCCTAAGTTCAACATAAGTAAAAGTGCTAGAGAAAAATCTTCGCTTCAATGTACCCGTTAAAGGGATTGAAACCAGATTTCATTCCCAAAACAGGAATAGCGTTCCGTTCAATAGATAAGACAGTTGCAGATAATGTAGGAGCACAGTGTGTTCTAACACTGAGACGACAGAGGAAAATGAAGCCTAATTTACCCAAGCCAGAAAGAGGAACCTTCAAAATGATAACCATATTGTATTATTATTATTATTATTATTATTATTATTATTATTACATAGTTATTTATTTGTCCCTTGGGTTCCTAATGGAACAGAGCACTTCAGTAGCACGTCTCCAGTGCACTCTCTTCTCTGCAAACGTTTGAACCTGGCTCCACGACAGCCCAGAAGCTCTCGTTCCTTCCTCACACTATCTCCTCCATGTCACCCTCACCTCGGATGCCCAACTCATCGTTTCCCATCTGGGTTCCACTCGACGACCTGGCCTGGCGCGTGATGTCCCCAGTCAGCCTTCTCAATGTATGCCCAGTCCAATCCATCCTCACTTCTTCCTGCATATTTATTGAGCGATAGGTTCTTGGTCAGTTCGTCACCAGGCAGAGTTCTTTGTTACCTATTCTGACTATTCTGGCCATCTGAACTTCAGCAACGAGCCAGCATAGGCAGTTGTTGATAAATGTCTGCAGTTTGTTGAAAATCCCTTTCGTAACGCGCCAAGTCTGTAAACCATATAGAAGCACTGACTTGACGGTGGTGTTGCAAACTCGAATCTTGTTCACGCTTTATGCTGAGTGGAGTTCAGAAGATCTCCACACTGGTTTCACGCTAATGAACACCTGTCTTGCTTTTCTGATCCTGGCTTTGATGTCCTTGTCTATGCCGCCTGTAGTTGAGATAGTGCTGCCTAAATAGGTGGAAGAGGCTACTTCCTTCAAGTTTCTCCCATTGATGGTGATTGGAGTTTGTTGTTGTTGTTGGTGGTGGTGTTGGTTGGGTATCTGCATCACCCTTGTCTTCTCTACGTTCACTGGAAGTCCGGCCTACTTTCACTGCCTCTCCTGCCAACTTGTTAGTTTTCACCTGTAGATCTTCAAGTTTGTGTGACATTAGACACAAGTCATCGACGGCGAAATCCAAGTCTTCCAAGTCTAGGATCTTTTCCCCGGTCCAGCGTATCACCCTCTTCTTGCTCCTCACTGTTTGTTGCATGATGCAGTCCAGTGCACTACAATCAGGTAGATCATGGGTGATAGCAGACAGCCTTGTTTCACTCCTGTCTTCACTTCAGAGGCGTCACTGAGCTTCCCATTGTGAATAACTTGGCATGTTGCATGCGTCTTCATATAGTTGTTGAATGAGATTGATAAAAGTTTGTGGTATTCTGTAATGTTGAGGCAGTTTCCAAATTACCTCTCGGTCGACGCTGTCA